CCCCCCCCCCCCCCCCCCCAAATTATTTCTCTCACAATGGGAAATGACTTGGAAAGAGCCCAACAAGAGCTCGAAGTCCCGTGACTTTGGTCATTGAGCATCGCTGAGTTGGATAGGCGGACACCTTACTGCGCCACTTCTGAAAAGCATTTCGTCGTGCCAAGACCATGTAACGGCTTTCCAGGAGTCATGTTCAATCTCATCAGTGTTCTTCTTGTGTTCTTTTTGGTGAAGTTGCAAAATCTAGTTGCAAACTGTGCTTCCAACTATAACTGATACTTCACGACCGAGTGAAGAAATAAATTCAAAGGTTCCAGAAATCGAAAGAAAGCGCTGATCCGGAGCGCAAGTCGAAAAGCAGTACGCATTTTTAGGAGTAAGCGTTGTGAGAAGGGGAAAAGGATGCTAATTCGAGGTCTGTACGTATACTTGTTCCTGAAAGTTTTTGCATTACTTGTCTGCTCATGCTAGGCTAATCCATTATTTAATTTCAATTATTCTGATGCAGTTCCTAGTAAAAAGAAACGTTTTCTCTGAGCGTATGAACATAAATATTATCATAAACAAAACTAACAACGGGCAGCAGTTAGGGTTATCAGGACACTACTGACCAAGATTGTTTGACAGCAATGATGGAACAAGTTCGGTCGTCAGCTGACATCCGTTCTCAATCACCATGGTCTGGTCGTGACCGTCAACAAGGAGGGAGGAATCTGACGCGGGAGATGCTGCATGTAGAATACACAGGCCGACTTTGTAGGTTGCAGCCTAAAAAACAGGAGTCGTAAGCAGATGGTCCGTTTGTTTCTGTCATATAGACTATTGCTAGTGTAATGAATAGTAATGTAATATAGATGTAAGACGTAGAGCAAGAGTTTGTAACACGAAAAACAACTTCACTGCAGCATTCAGAAATCCTACACGAAACGTTGAAAAATTTTAGGTCTTAGGAAGTGAAATTGTTTGATTTTTTCGTATATTTTGAAGGTTTCGCCTATGTCTTGCAACATATGTTACATTTTTGCGTCAGGCTTTTTACCACTTGTATCCAACTCTTCACAGTTGCTCAATTCCATTTCTACAACCCTTCGATAGTGCAATCCTTCAATACTACATCAGGATCATCGGGGTTTTTCTTTCCACAGTTTTGTTTCAGATCCCTAGATACCAGTATCCAGATGGTGCTAGGCCGGAGTATGCAGGATGAGGTGTAACCTGCCAACATGGCTCTGCAATTTTCTCTTGAGCTATCATTCCAATACGCGAGAACGTCCGATAACGCCAGACATTATCATGTTGCAACATAATTCACTGATTTCGTATTACGTTGACGCAGTATACGGACATATTTCTAGAGCCAGTTGTTATAAAATAAATAAAAGATCTCACCACTGCACTACATACTTGGTATCAGCGCAAACCGAAGTGGGCCATTCACTTCACCAACAGCAGGATAACGTTTTTTTCTCGAAAATCAGACTTTGATTTCTGCGCTAGTATGCCCCCCGCAGGCACCCATTGTCGTCTCTTCTTCGTATAATTAACATTGTGTGCACAGCTTTCACCTCTACTAAAAATCTCCTTACGAAATACTCTCAATTGAGGAAAGCATAGGTTGACGAACACGAGGCGGTCGATCTTTTCTTTGCTTTGAAATGATGGGATGCTCACATTGAGTAAGCTTTTCAAAACTCGAGATGGTGCAGGCTTCTGAAGGCTGTCATGGGGATACCCCAAGTGACGCTGATTATCCTTGCGTAGCAGTTTCCAGGTTCGTTAAAGATCCTTAAGGATCCCATCAACTTCATTGATTGTAGGACGCCTACATCAGAAAATCAAATATCTCCAGAATCGAACCGTCTGAAGCAACGATACACAGTAGCGAGACAATGTGCTCAAATGCAGACGAATACTTGACGCTGTCTCTTTTAAAATGCCAGAAAGTATTCTAAATAAATAACGGTCAACGAGTGCAATTTCTAAGTCGAACTATTCCTGAGCTTTTTCATTACAAGTGATTAGCGTTGCGGCATATTAATAATCTCAGGTGAGGGATTAATGATGTACGAAATTGTCGCAAGATCAACGAACCAAACTACTTGTAATTCAGATGACGAGGGTGTTGACCTATGTATCAGGTTGTCGGGAAAGTTTTTGCGCATTTTGGTCTCTACGTTGTAAAATCTATGGGATCACTTTGAACGTTACCTGCGTGACACAGGTAAGTGCAGGTCAATGCACTATTGGCACTGCAAAGCAATTTAGATTACTTTTCCTTCACGAGTTAAAAAGAAACGTATGTACAAATCGAGCGACAAGAAACATATGCGAGATGATAAAGCCCTCAACTGTCTTGTACATGGCGATAAGCAGTTGGTACACAAATTCGAAAGTGGCTACTTTGACCTGATCGGAAACCATAGTTGGTGAGGCCACCTGGGCTGAACCACATTCTGAAGCTAGTTGCAGATGATTCTAGGCGTAGTACCTGCGAGCTGGCACAGTAGCTCAAAGCCATCACGACACAATATCTGCTCATTTGCATCACATCGGAAAGCCTTGGAGTTACGGTGTATGGATAACCCATGAACTGAGTGGTCTCGAGCTCGAAATGAGAAAAGAGGTATGCCAAGACTTGTTCACTTTTCGAAGCACCTTCGCATGGCTGGCTGAATTATCGGAAACGAAAAGTTGGTTCTCTACGTAAACTCCATGAGGAAGCGCAGCGGCTTGGACGCGAAGAACATGGGATTACGGCTCCCAAAACAGGACGCCGACTTACAATGGCAACGCTCAGCGTTTGGTGGAGTCGAATGAGATCGTCCACAGGGAGCTGCTGATTTCGAGCTCTACTGTCACTGCCAAAGTATATTGTATCCAGTTGGATCGCGTTGCTGCCTATCTATAGGGTGGGCCGAATCTATGATTACAAAGATATCACATCCCCGAAAACGAATAGAAAGCTAATAAAGCGAACCACTTTCAGAGAAGTATCTATCACTAATCTCTTATCAAAATAGTACAATGAAGCTGGGATCTGTTCCTTTCTGCCTTTACCCAATCCCAGAGACGACGATGGACGGCATTGACGGTGGCACGCGGCTAAGGTCGTCGAGTTGTTCCCGGCTAACTGCAAGGCATTTTCGAGATTATTTCAGTTCTTGTTTGGACTAGTGCATGCGTCTATATCAGGGTTGACCACATTGAGGCATCCATGGGATTTAGATTAGGGCACCAGAGTGGCCACTGGTCGAAGGTTGTGAAGTCAGGGAATACCTTTCACGAAATGATCTGCAGTCAGGAGCTTCATCTTGTCAATATGTCCGATTTGAGTAGACAAAGTGTCCTATTGTGCACGACGAGATCGATCAGATCACCAAGTAAACTTTTACTCCTTAACTTACAAAAATAATCGGTGTTTTTGCCTCGGCGGTGACGCTCGCAAAGGCCATTGCAGAGAGTCAGTGAGCCTAGCGCTGTATCACTCCCGTTTCTTCCAGCTTCGTACACATCTTGTCGCTCTGCTTATCGAGCACCTCTTTCACCGTGAATGTTTTTTCGTCGGTGAACAGGAATTCCCTACGTCAATTTTTTCGAGGGGGGGGGGGGGGAAGAGCCTTATGAACAAAAGGTATAATTTGANAAAGTGTCCTATTGTGCACGACGACGTCGATAAGGTCTCCAAATTAACCTTCACACCTCAATTTACAAAAATAATCTGTGTTTCTGCCTCGGCGGTGACGCTCGCAAAGGCCATCGCAGAGAGTCAGTGAGCCTAGCGCTGTATCACCTCCATTTCTTCCAGCTTCCGACACATCTTGTCGCCCTGCTTGTTGAGCACCTTTTTCACTGTGAATGTCTTTTCGTCGGTGAACAGGAATTCCCTACGTTAATTTTTCGGGGGGGGGGGAGGGGGGGGGCAACTTTTGCGAGCCAACTTTATCTTATATTTAGCCTGCTCACTGGGGGAGCCACTTTTGATCGTATAAGGGCCTTGTTGTGCAGATGATACTTCACGATTTCGCGCACGAAATTTCATGAGATATCCATTCATTTAGCCATTTCGGGCTCAGAATGAACTTCGCTGCTACGCAGACTTTCGCCCTGCTTCCTTAACACTCCCCCTAAATATAATCGCAGGCATCTCAGGTTCATCACGTCTAAATGCAATTGTTCCCATCTCTCGGAAGCGTCCTATGGTTGCATGTACCTCCTACCTTTTCACGCTAAGTGGTCTGTAAATGCACCGTGCCAAAAGTGCTTCCAAATGCAAAGCGACCATTTATTCACCGGGTAGTGAAGCTTATATTAATTTCAAGATCTATCCAAAGTTTAGTACCATTAGGAAGGCAATAATGTAAACTACCTTTCGAAATGGAAGAAAGAGAACGATTTGTTATGAACTCAGTAATACATGCGTCAGCGCGCGCCGTAACCATAATTTTGGCCCATTCTGTAGATAGAAACAGGGGAAAGTCTTGTTTCTCCACGACAATGCTCACCCATATATAGCGATTAAGACACAGAAGAAACCGTTGATTTTCTCTGCTTGAACTCGGACGAGGTTGATAAATTCCTTTATAAATTCCTTTAATTTATCAACCCCGTCCGAGTTCAAGCAGAGAAAATCAACGTTTACACTATGCCGAGGTTTAGAGATAGCCGTACATGGCGACACAGAAGAAACTTCAAACTTGAAAAGACATTAACACCCCCTCTCTTTTTTTTACCAGATCTGGGCTCAAGAGATTACCACCTGTTCCTGTCGCTATCAAAACATTTGAGAAATAAAAAGTTCAATGATGTGAACCAACCATGATGAGGTGTGCATCGGCGAGTTTTTACCCTCCAAATCTCAGGAATTCTATACAAGCGGGATCCACAAGTTGCCTGATAAATGGTAATATGTTGTCGAAAATGATGGTGCATATTTTTGCTAATTGTTGGTTGTGGGGGGGGGGGGGAATAAACCCAAACAAAAACACACACTGCGCAAGAACTTTTCCAACATGCCAATACTTTCGCTATCACTTCCAGGAACGGAATTTTGCGACGAAGGAACCACCGTTTTATCGAGACAATTATTTCCAGAACCTACAACCTACTACACAAAATTAGAAGAATGTGGATCAACTAAACCGTGCTTCAGCTGAATATACATACTTATGACAGCCGTTAGGAGTCGGAGATATTCTTGACGGAGTATGTTGCGGGTGCGGACTTTCCGAGAGAATGGAAAATGCGACAGAAAGAGAGAGATTCAAATAATCTTTATTACTTATTGCGCACAAGAAAGTATCAGAGTGTGAGTGTCAGAGTGCGAGACTTTAGCCCAGTTGCCCATCCTCCAATGTGGTCCTTCCCACGACCCTCACATGCGATGCGCAGGCGATGATAAAATATATTTATAAGTTTTTGCTTCATTGCCATATCGCGTTGTGTTAAGCATCGCCATGCATTGAATTTCCCTTCCAAAACCTCATACCAGTTTCACGAGGATTTTTCCCTCTCACATAAGACACATATGTGATACACTGATATAATTTCATAATCAATTCCTTGATGACATCAGAGTATTGTGTACATTACTTCACTTTCTAAATCTCTACTGAAGGCTAACGCTCACTCTGGAGCTCTTTTTGTAGCATGTTGCCCTTATTTGAAGCAAAAATACTCACTTTACATTTCCTGTTATCGATGCAAGCTGCAATACAGGCGACCACAGAGTTCATACCAGGATACGACATTATAATCTTTTTATGCATCTGTTTTGTTGGATAAACAATGTATGGCGTTTCGGCGGAGCAGTCCTTTTTCGCTGGAAAATCGTTTTATCGAGCTACCTTACAATTTACCAGTTGGGTTGCGCACGCTAACGCGTGCAACTTACGGTCACCATGTAATCCATATTGGTTAGTTAGATATGGATTATATTAGAATAGAATACAGTATCCATAGACTTTCTATTTCGTAACATATCCCTCACTCATTCCAATATGCGCCCACGTAACATTTCACAATCCTCATCGTGCCTACATGACATTCTGCGGATGGACGCACAAAGCGAAATATGTACATGCATACATGCAAAGTTAGCGCTTCATATATAGAGAGACACGCTAGTCTCATCTTCCAATATACTTCGTTTCATACTGAGAGATCTTCTTGTTTTTACATGTTCCAAAAACTCCTTTTGTTCTTGAGCGTGAATGGATGGATTGCTTGGCGTAGTTTAATCCGTGATCCAGTATTTTCAACCGAAGCAACCTAGCCCTTGAATGTGTTTCAACCTTCGAATAAGTTCACGGTGGCGGGATATGTACAAGTTACCTTTTTCATTACTAGAAGCTGTTTTAGAGCTAATCAACTGGCGCCAGAAAAATTCAGGGCACAATCAAGAATTTAGCAGCAATGTTTGCATCTATCCACGCGATTGCTGTTTCTGATATCATCTTACAATGCTGGTTCTTTGGCTTCTGTGTACTCAACTTCGGAAACATACAGTAACGATCATAAAATTTCAAGATTTACTTTGAAGCAGTGCAACCAACAAGAAACGAAATTCCCTATTTCACACAAGGACGCCGAGAATATTGTGTGCAGGAAACATTTTGCACAGGATGATCCCCCTGTCTAACGGCCGAATTTTTTCAGCGAATGACTTGTCAAAAGTCCAGAAACTACGCGATAATGGATGGATTCGGCGACTACAGCGATCAACAACGGAGTTGCGAATACTCTATGGAGAAGTGAAGTGAATCGATGACAGCTACACATCCTGTATCATTGAACCGATCAGAACATTATGTTTGGAATGCCTACGGGCCTCCTTCACTGATTGCCTTCTCTCAATGAAGGATCGTAGCCGGTTAGCCGACGAGGCTATGTAGAGTTTCCTCACGTGGCGGATAGGAGGGTAAATCGCTGACCAGAACTTGATGATTCTTGCCTAAAGACGCAGATGCATTCCAAAAATGGACTTCCTGTTTCTGCCATCTGCTGGGTCGATAAACCTTCCGTTTCTCGCAGGTGTATCCATTAAAAAGTGTGTGGAGAGTGTGCGACGCAATTGGCACCATGCCCATCGCTGCCAAAACTTTGCATTAGAGTGACTGAGGATTATCTGAATGGCGATTTGTGGCCCTCTTAAAAAGCTCCTCGTTCACATCAGTATCGCCTGCTAGCACCCTTAGTCAACCCAGCCGCCAGGTTAGAGCCTAGCAACTCGTTGGGTACCCAATTGCCAAAAGCACTAATATAAATAGGTCTCATCCCCCTGAACCCGAGCGACCTCCAAATACGGCAGCGTTGGGAAGGACCGCTCGGGAGAAGCTAGTAAAATTTGATGTCCAAAGCAGACTGCTCGAAAAGGGAAGGACTGGGACAGCGATCTGTCAACACACGAAAGTTTGAATGGGAAGTGTGTATCGAAAACATGATATTGCGAGCTAGCATGATCGAGTGTGACGTCATCTGACTGACCGAGACGAGAAGGGATCGCCTCATGGAGCGAAATGGAATGAGCAGGGTGAAAGACTGTCAGACCTTATCAGTTCGACCCACACTATCCATGACAACTCCTATGTAGTTCCAGAAGCCTCCCAATTTGCGATGGTAATAGAAGTCTCCTGGTGTACACTTCCGCAATAAAATAGACCACAACATCTTAATCGGAAGCTCTACTCGACTGACGCCGCTGTTTTTCCGAAGTTTTTCACGGACTTGGGCCATCGTCTCCTCCTCGCTATATCACGCTTTTCAGTGCGCGGAGAGAGCTGCGAAGAAACGAAGCCCCGAGACTGCGATTTATGAACAAAACTTATTCTCGGACGTGACTCGAACCCATACCTGTGTTTTCCGGGCACAGTGCTCTATCTCTTACGAGACCCCGCTTGCCCTGCCTTATTGACTCATATTCCATAGCTTATTAGAAATCACACGTACAAATTGTGGAGCCGGTCGGCCAGTATCAGCATTGAACCCTTAAGCTGAAAGCTTTACTGACCATTTACTTTACTTTACTTTACGGTAAAGGTAAAAAAGGTCACAAAATTCAGTACGAGGAAGCTAGAACTATCAGGTTACAATACACCGCCTCATTTTCGGAGTAGATGACGTGGTTCAAGTTACTGCCAATGTATGAGAAGTTGGATAAATCTTTTTGTTTCTTATCTGATTTAATTTAAACCGAGCGAAATTAATCGATTTTGAACTTCACGGGCGGCGTTGGTTAAAAAAAGAGTATTCGAAGCTTGAACCAAGTTAAAGACCTACTCTGCACGCAAAACTTGTCGGCAAAAATGAATTTCGCATTGACGTCTAGTTGCGCAGTGTTTCGATCAAGCCTTGGACGAATTCCGTAGAGGTAGCACTCCTCGTCTGCAGGTTCGTAATTTGCAGCGTAACAAGGGACTGCTACTCCACTGGCGTCCTAGAAAGCACGGTGCAATTAGAAACCATGACATTACGATGTTTTTTTCTAATATATACATAAATCTAAAAGTAGAAACTTCAATATACTCAGCTGTAGAAGTTTTTTGGATTGCCAAAAATTCATCGGTTTCATCGCAGTAAAACCAGTTTAGAACAGATCCCTCGTCGCGGACAATAAAGATGCATTCCCTGCACAAAATGCTGTTCGATTAAAATTCGTAGGCGCAATCTATCGATCTACAACACTGCTACTAATTCATGATCAACCGACGGTTTGCGACGGATTAATCCATCGCTAGCCGTCGCTTCCCCATAACTTCAGCTAAAGTGCTCCAATAAAGCTGAAATTAAGGCCATTGGAAAGCTTTTCTCGTAAAGAATCAAAATATATGATAATCTTTCGGATTTCTCAAATTTTTCGCCTTCCTTTCCGGGAAAAACGGAAGTTGAGTCTCTCAGCACCTGGGGTGTTACTTGCGGATATGACCGCGTCGTAAACCCTCCACTTCATTTGAAAACTTTGTTTCCGATTTTTAAAGGGCTTGCATCGTGTTATAATTGAGGATAGCATAGAATCCTGATCATTTTGATACCCTTCATGTCATAATGTAAATATTTTTACCTAAAAGCAGCGGTGCAAAGCAAATTTCCAGATTTTTAGATATTTGTTGTTTCTTTGAGCCGCGTATTCGTATGACTACCGTATAACTGCTTGTGAGGAATCATGCCATGAATTTCAGTTTCTTCAATTTTGCAGCATCATTTTCATGGAAGTCGAAGAGTGAGTGTTCAGTACCTGAGGTGCTTTCGCAGATATAACATAACCTTAAACTCCCCACTTCAACAGAAAACTTCATTCTGAGTTTTTCTAAGGATATTTGGAATATGAACATATGAAATCATGGCTATTTTGATTTCGTAGTGATAGAATTCAGAAAAATTCAGCTGAAAACAGCGGTTTCAATGATCAACTTTTCAAGGATTCGCTAGTTCATTTCAGAATTGCACTTCCTCGGGAACGAATTATTCTGCATTTACTTAAAGACTTCTATTATGTGAATCTAATATTCTGATAATAGAAGGATGAATGGCCTCCTAATCGTGCGTTGAGCTAATTGACCCCTCACCATCGATCTCTATTGGTCTATCGCCTTCGCTATTGCCGAGTCCATTCAAGAACACGCCCGTTGACACATAGTTTTATGCAGCTGGCAGAATGGAAGGACCACGCTATGATGAATACTGTTTCACTGTTATATGGTTCATGACATGACAGCATTCCCCACAAGCAGTTATACGGTAGTCATACGAGATACGTGGCTCAAAGAAACAACAAATGTCTAAAAATCTGGGAATTTGCTTCGCACCGCTGCTTTGAGGTAAAAATATTTAAATTATGTCATGAAGGGTATCAAAATGATCAGGATTCTATGCTCTCCTCATTATAACACGATCGAAAAATCGGAAACAAAGTTTATAATTGAAGTGGAGGGTTTATGGGGGGACGGTCAAGTCGTGCGTCCGGGGGTGCGCACGGCAAATTGTGCGGCGAAACCCATAGCTATTCTGACGACTTTAGCGCCTATTATTTGGGCCCAATTTCGAAGTACAGTAGAATAGTAGGATCAGCTGACCTTACTAATCTACCTTACTTCAGATTTGGGCCCCAATGATAGGCGCCGGAGTTGTCCAAATTCGCCACCAACTTCGCGGCGCAATTTTCCGCGCGCACCCTCGGACGCACGACTTGACACATACCCAAGAAGGCGAAAAATCGAGAAATCCGGAAGATCATCATATATTTGGATTCTTTACGAGAAAAGCTTTCCAATGGTCTTACTTTCAGCACTATTGAAGCACTTTAGCTGAAGTTATGGCGAAGCGACGGATTGCGACGGATTAATCCGTCGTAAACCGTCGCTTCGCCATAACTTCAGCTAAAGTGCTTCAATAATGCTCGGTTGACCATGAATTAGTAGCAGTATTGTACATGTTTCCCAACTGATTTACCTTAATTCAAGTAAAATTATTCGAATTTGTTCTTGACAGGCCGTCAAAAGGGAAGTTTCTGGAGTTTTGTCACCTCCTGTAGCTGTTAAGAACTAATCACTTATATATATATATATATATATATATATATATATATACATATATATATATACATATATACATATATGGTTGTTGTTCCCGCACCGTTGTTTTTCTTTGAAACAAGCGGTGGATTTTGATCGAACAAAGTGTTATATTTGTAACGTGTTACCGCACCAAGTGCTTTTCAATTCAATTATGACACGAAGAATAAATTCAAAAACTCTGTAAACTTTCGCAATTTTGCCGGACGCTATAAAACTAAACGTCTTGCAAACGTCGCTGATTCTATTCTACTAGCTCTTGCTAAATTTATATTGCACTACATCATTGTTTACCTACAATATTCTGCGAGCAGTACATTATGCAACTGCTTTGATCAACTCCTTTGAGCCGAGCTGCAACCTTAGTGGACGTCAGTCGATATCCGAAAAAGACAAAGTAGCTGACTGTCTCATCCCTCTGACATTCTGAAATCAAGTAATCAAGTTTTCGAATAAGTCTATCTTAATCAAGTTGTCTATGAACGGTTATAATCTACCAAAAGCGCGCTATAGCCTAGAAGATCAGTGACTGGTATATACTGGCAAACTACGAATCAATGTTTGAGGAAGCATACAGTGCGCTTCATAATTATAAGGTCACCCTCAAATTTTGCACTTTCAAAAAAAGCAATCATTAAGGATTTTTTCTAGCATCATGAACGGATTTCCCAGCACGAATAACCCAGGCTTCCGTTTTTTAGCCGCAGCTGCATTTTTCTGAACTTTCTTAGAACAGTTTATCGGTTTTTGCACCGTTTCATAATTATATGGTCACCGTGAGAAAGTGAACAATTATTCATGGGAGAGAGGAAATTTCGTGTTCAAAGATACTTAAAAAGGTAAGCATGTGTAGTAAATGCATTTCTAAACTGGCTGTCAACATGGCTCGCAGCCATCTGCTTTCCTATGATGAGAAGGCTCACCATGAAGGTGGGCTCAGCACTCGAGCCATCTCCAGGCAAGTAGGGAGATCCCCTTGGTCCATTCAAAGATTTCTGGAGAGCCGTGATGTTCCTAGATATGACACCGGCAGTGGACACCCATGAAAGATTACTGCCCGTGACGAGCGGAAGATTCTGAGGACTGTTTCCAACAGTACGTCCTCCTTGAGCCAGTTCCGATCGGAATTAAACCTCTCTGTGTCGAAAACTGCAGTCTGGAGAGCAGTGAGAATATGCGAGAACATCATCAGGCAAGCAATGGAGAAGGTGCCACGAGGCTCGACTCGGAATTGCAAAGATGAACCTAAGGAGAGATTGGGCAAAGGTAGCATCTGCATCAAAATCTCATCCTAGAGCTGAATAATTCCTATTTAGGTCGTCTTTTTGGATGAAAAGAAATTCAATCTAGACGGTCCTAACGGAAACAAGCGGTACTGACGCGAATTGAGAAAGGATCCAGTCTACTTCAGCCGTCGCAATGTCGGTGGAGGAAACCTATGGTGTGGGGTGCGTTCTGCAATGATGTCGTGTTGTCGTGAGCTGCAGTATTGATTTCAAGGATTACTAGAACGTGTTGGAGCATCATCTAGTACCCTTTATATGCCATCGCCGTCACCTCAACTATGTCTTTCAACAAGACAACGCCTCCATTTATGTGAGCCGTGCACCGGATGAGTGGCTGCAATGCCAATAAATAAGCGTCCTGCCATGGCCAGCCTGCAGTCCCGATCTCAATCCGATGGAACATATTTGAGGCATAATAGTCAGATAGGTTTATGCGAATAACCGTCAGTTCCAGGGCACAGAAGAGTTGAAGCGGGCAGTTATCAAAGCATGGAGAGCAATCGATGAGGAACATCTCCGAAACCTAGGTTCTAGTATGCCACACAGGCTCTTTGATGTTGCTCTTAAACAAGGAGGAGCTATAGATTTACAAGTGTTGTACATATGCCATCAACGTTAATAAATCATTTACTTTCTCAGGGTGACCTTATAATTATGAAACGGTGCAAAAGCCGACATTATCTTTAAAAAATCCATAAAAAATTTGAGGTGAAGGATATTGCGACCAAAATTTGAATACGGAGGCACATTGTGATGAGGAATCTTTCTGTCTTTGCCAAAAAATTCCATTTCGGCTGCTTTCTCCAGAATCGCAAAAATCGAGGGTGACCTTATAATTATGAAACGCACTGTAGAATGGCCTCTGAGTCGGTTTTATTAAGAGTAAGGCTAAGAATTCTTGTAACATACCCATTAAAAAACATGTGTCTCTTTCTGGATAATACGCTCTAACTTTGAGTTCACCTTCAACCAATTACTGATTGATAAATAGCTGAGGTCATTTATGTGCAAGCCAAACTTGATGCATAAAACACCAGCCATAATAGGGTTAGAAAAATTCTGAAATCAGACCGCTGCTGCGTGTAGGATTCAGGAAGCGGATTCCAACAGTAGGCTCATCAAAGTTAGAGGTGGTCCAAGTCTTTCGTGTAGTAGTAGGTATGAAACTCTTAAATATGAGTAGTTGGGAGAGTCTGAGTCTCGAATCTTTCTTAATTCGAATCTGCTTGATTTCTCATAAATTTACCGCAGATGCTGCCTGGCCTGTTCGGAATTCCATGGAGCTTTCACCGTTCATGTCTTCAAGAGCTGCGTATTGCAATGGGCGTTGTCTGTAACCATGCTTCGGTACTGAAAAGAGTGGCGTTGGAAAGAGGACTGTAAGACCGCACATTGTGAAAGGTATATTGGGCCACTGTTTACTGTTTATACTTTTGGGAAACTTATGACCTACCAACTTTATCTTGGCAGACGCCTACCCAACTGGTGCGCTCGTAGAAGTCGTGACCGATGGCCGGAACCACTTGAGATTCTGAAAAACCGTAGTGTAAGATATATTCAATGAATATGGGGTGAGGAAACTTTAAAATGTCCCGTCAGTGGTGTTAATCCATTCTTAATCTCGCCAGTGCAAAGTATTTTTATTAAGATGCCTCCTTCACGCATAATGCAATGGAAAAGAGCGAAGTATCGGTGGGAAAAGTCCCCGAGTTCTGGGATAGAGTCCGTCCGCGAGTCGACCATTTGTTTGAAAGTTGTTCTTTATTATCGCGTGGATATGTTCGAGGACCAAAAACGGACGGTGGTGAGCGAAACGGGACGGACCCTGTAACGACAAACAAAGTTTTAGTTGAGTTTTATGACAGGTTGGGCTTCCCCAGGATAACATATTACAAAGTATCAGACAAGAGTAGTGGCTTTTTTTGTATGCAACAAGGAAGTGTGGGAGAGGTTGGAGCTAACAAGCTCATATAAATTGTTTGACGATGGAGCATTTCATAATTGAATGAAATTATATACCTTCGTTCAACAATTTCCCTTTATGATCAATGAGAATGTTTAATCGTGACAAAGCAATTGCTAAGAAATACCTGTCTGGTTTGTACCTCCAGACAAGTATTTCTTAGCAATTGCTTTGTCACGGTCTTTGTCTATTGGAGGAATTTTTTTTTGCTACACAGTTACCCTAAGCCCGTGTACCACGCTGGGGTCCGTCAATGAATGCATAGGGGAATAACTGGAACAGAGTCTAAACTGGCGAGAAATACGATGAATTTTTTCTTCTTCGATCAAGCCATTTTGGGAACATTATGAGAATGAAGAATGAGAACATTTCTTTTGATAATCGTGAATTGAATACGTATTCAATTTAGGTATACAATGATTATGGGCTGTCAACTAACGGCTTTTTGATATACAGTTTAGTATATTTATGCTATCAGGTAAGTCAGTAACCACTAAAGTGTTTCTGGAGCGGAGGATGAAGGATGGTATGTTTGGTCAGCCTGTATCATTACTGAATCGAGTTTTGACGCAAGGGCCCCAAGTGTAGTAGCCCACCTAATGAATCCACCTCATACGCAGCTTTAGAATCTCAGAAAATGAAATAGTAAGTTTACTTGCCATTGAAATGACCATTATGCCCATATAGCTGACATGTTGAATGAAGTGTGTGGTAGACCACAGAGGCGCAACCATCCTTCAAGTATTCAACTTTGCTGGCATAAATTTCAGTAAAATTCCATCCACATAACACTTACTGAAAACAACTTACTCCTGTTTTGGCTGCGTTCAAAATGCAGTAGTTTAAGCAGTCCCCCACTGTTACTCGAAACAACTCGGCGTTCGAATAGGAATTGGAGACGCCATGCCCTACTTTGTGCAGAAAGCATTTCGACGCTGAAAAACAGCTTCACATGTTACGTAGTAGAAAGGTTAGAAGTCGATAAGGTGTTTCCCTTCAGTCCATAAAGCAGGAAAAATTAAGAATTAGCAGAACATATGGGTTTCTAATTAAAATCGATCGGGTCCTTATTTCGGGAGCAGCCCAATATTTCTGAGGAGTAGTTGACACTCGAGTAAATTGTAGTTATAACCAATAGTCCCCACAGAATCGCTTTACAGGGATTTGCAGTCTTGTGCAAAATCAAATATATTAAATCTAATCATAGGATTTAGTGAATTTTGTATTAAATATAAAGTCATACAGATAATAGGAAGTATAACGGATGATGCACTTTCCACCGCGTAAAAAGTGTTCTTGCTCCACCCCACCAAATCATTTGGCCAAGATGCTAGTTTAATTATTCAAGCCGTACCTTCTCCGTTTTAAAGATTTTCCGTAACTTATCGAGGGGACGAATGGAGCATATCGCACAGAACGGAACAATACCTCTGATAAAGCAGTCACCAACGGACATTTCTTTTTGACTCTCACGTGTTTTTTACTTTATTGTTCCGAGAACTGACTAGAATTAGCCCCAAGTCCCTGTCACACCACTGAAAGCTTGTTTCTGTTTCGCAGAAAAGCAGTAGTTCACTACTTATGTTACCATATGTTACTGTTACCTATACTTGAGCATTAGATAAAATATCATTATTTGCGCTTGTACTGTATTCACTTTTAGAAGATTATAGCATTTCAAACCATAGTCGTTGCTACTCGCGACACATTCAAGCATTGCAAAATCTAGTAAAAAGTGAACTACGAATCAGTGGAAGCGCTCTCTTCAATCGAGCTAAGTCATTAACTAAAGCTGAAAGACGAAAATCCTCTTAGTGAAGAGGAATGGGTGTAGGGATGCTATAGAGCACCTGAGTAAATGAGGGAAGTTAGAAAGAATTTACTTACTAAACGTCACTGAATTCGATGCAACTTGTTTCAATAAAACGTAAAGTAGCGGGATCCACAGTATCATAACGTATATAGAACGTTCGGAGAACAAAATGGGTGAAACAGTGAAAGCGTGAACAGGCGTCGGGAATGACCTAAATGATTCAGCGCAAAGTGGGGCTTGTGTTTCTACAGCGCATGTCTTCAAAACTAAGATTTTTGATACCGTATTCTAAGATACTCGATTATGCATGCGGACCACCTAGTTCTATTAACTTTATTCATTTATTCATTTGTTGCAAGCTTAAGTGCACTAACTATGTATAATTCCACTATCACATTATCTCAAAAACCTGCGGTAAAATAAAAGTAAAGCATGGATCATAGTAAAAGCTAGACAGACCTCCAGTCAGGTACGTAGAAAAATAAATGAAACGAAGAAGAAGTGCACCACAGGAAGGTCAGATAGGTACTAAGAACTGTATGATAGTTGAAGAGCTCTCCACATTTGATTTCAGTAAGCGGATGGCGATAGGGATAACGTCACTCCCCTCAACGTCCTCCCGTCACTCCGTCACAGGGACAAAACTAGCATACCTGTGGAATCGGAGACCTAATTTTCGGATGTTAGGTACTTCCTACCCCTAACAGTTCAGCCTCCGACCAGCCATTATGATTGTCACAGCCATGGAAGGTATCAGATCGTGTAACGAGAAAATCCAGTTCTAGTGCAGAGGACTCATGACGGATCCTAATAATGTACCTCACTGAAGACTTACTATCTGATGAAAAGAATCAGGTACAAATACAATAGATTCCATTAGGGCAAAACAAAAACAAACAAAAGAAGGGTTATGACGCAAAAGAAAATAACCGGAAGTCTAGCAGGTCCCTTTATTTCACCGAGAGTCTACCAGGTTTAAGGATCGTTGCAAAAAGCATCAGCAAGAAGAAGCTACGAGCCAAATGCTGAATGGATAAATTTCGCGAGTTTCAAAGGGTCTTCAAATTTCTTTTATTCCAAGACGTGGTTGCAAGTCGATCTTCTTATACCTGAATTGAAAACTTTGCTATTTCGCCCAGCGGAATTTTAAACATCTGAAGCCGTTTTGCTTATTGCTCAACGAAATTTTAGGCGTTTGAAGCCGTTTTGCCCCACTCAAAACTAGATAGTTAGAAGCTTTACGATACTGTTTCTTCATAGGTTTAGGACATTGTAGAACATTCTAGCGGCAGTGATTCCGTGGCGACGACAGTATCCTTTCTCTTGAAATTCTGACCGTTCTTTTCAGAGCGTTTGGCAAGTGTGACGCCACTTTTGGGAGACGTTACCACTCCACTTTGTCTTGCGAGGCAGTCAGTCCATTTAGAGAATAAGTGGCCTAATGTGTTTGCCTTCTCAATCCGTCTAAGTATGACACTTTGAGAAAACGAGGTAAAAAATGTCTTAAACTGAACCCAAAGTCAGCTATCGTCATTTGCCTGTATTGGCTACTATGTCCTTCCAGATGGGAGGGATTAGGCCCATGTTTTTGTCGCACGTATTTGTCGCATGCTTCACATATCGAGGGCCGTTCAGCAGCAACTTCTGCCTTCACGGTAATCAGCTTTGAATTGCTAGTGCGAGCCTCTATTGAAATAAGTTTTCCAATCATCTAAAAGGCTCTGGTCCAGCGGTTCTTTATTCGGCGATTTTATAAGCCTGAAATTATTCTTTTCTATTTGTTAAGGTTGTTCGAAGACCTTACTCAAAACCCTGTCATCGCATTTCAATCAATTGGAACAGAAATGTGAATCGAGCCACCGAAGAGTGGTTCACACGAATGGACGTCAAAGAATTTTTTCAGTCAAGGTAAACACGCATTTCATTTATATTGCCATTCATCCCTTGACTGTCGCGAAATTCGAAGTAGATCGAGGGACTGGAAAACATTTCGGACAGAACTGGAGCGAACTAGAACTAGATTGTTTTCGTTTCGTTCAGGGTAGATAGTGACGAAATCGCTCTTTAGGTCAGGATACACACGTGTAACACATAAGGCTGATTTCTTTTGCCATCAAGAGCACCGAAAAAAGTCCTCGAGAACTCTTTAGAACTGTCATGAGCATGGAAGGCGATTATGTGAAATAATTCTACTGTAACCATGGTAGGGACTCACCACATAGACCATGACATTCTTGGGGGGTTCTGAGGCGCTGACGAATGGCACAAGTATAATAGTACCAGTGGTCAGTAGGGCGGTTTAGATATCCTACAGAGATGATACAAGCCTTCTAATCAAATGGGGTTGCCTCGTTCGAGGCAGTCCGACCTGGGACTATAAATTTTCGACTAGTTCATCGATTTCCCTTCTATAGTGCGGTGCAGGACCTTGAACAAGCGCATCAAGAATCTAAATGAATCAGAGGTCGATATTTCCTTGTACGTCGGGTAACGATAGGTTCTTTCGAGGTCTTGAAGTTGACCTTCTTCATCTTAGGTTGTATGAGTCTCCTTCTAGACATTACACGAGTGTCTGGCCAAGTAAGCCTACAACACTGCTCCGTTATAAAAAANAAAAAAGGTCCTTTCGCGTGAAATCAAAGTGCATCTGTACGAATCCCACCCAAAGAGGAGAGAAACCCTTTAAAAAATGTTTTGTGTCTGATCACATCCTGCAGTCTTAACACCTCGTCCAGTAAGATGGTCTGATTTGTGAGGAATTCATCCACACCATTCTTTCCCATTTGGAATTTGTTTCTTGTCCTGCGGTTCTACACTGCCATCGCGCAACATCTCAACTTGACTGAGTTCCTTTTCATTAGAATTAGTCATTATTTAGGATTTCCTTAGTGTCATTTTTTACCTAATCCCTCAACTATGAGTCATTGATTAGATATTTAAATATCAAATACAATGCTCAGTACTTCCCCTGGCGTCCGTTAATAATACTGTATCGCAGACTGATAATGCCCCACAATTGTGAATGGCTTCTTTTCACTAGCTCTCTTTTCAAATTTAAGTCATGAGATCGATCGATGACTGCTACTCGAGTTAAGTTGCCCAGGAAAAATAAAATATGATGATTTTGTGTAAGTTTTTGGCGACTTACCCGTGTATCTGTTCCTCTGCAGCTCCAGCATGTAAAATTAGGTTGATGCATAAGTTCTTTCACCCGAAATTTTTGTAAATATCTCAATGGCGAACAGTCTGAAGATTAGAGGTGTGCACCATCGCCATCCACTGCTCGACGCCGGCTTGTCGTCTCTATCCTCCCAGAAGGACAGGACTGGGACTTGAAGAAGTAGACGAGTGCCTTTCTGACCTCATCCTTTGTGAGGACCTTGTGAAAATTGTGAGGCACTGTGAACTTCAGGGCGAGTGATAGCTAGTGTGATGAAAGGGTATCGTGCACACTTCACACACACGTGATGGCGAAATACCAACATCCATCCAAACGAAATACTGAAGGATCAAACACGATGGAAAAATACATGCATCAACCTAATATAAAAACTGGTTTTTCCAGTCAACCTTAAGGTAAAAAAAGGTTGTCTCAATTCCTCTAGGTTTTATAATATTCATGAACTAATCCATCGTGCACCTCACTAATAGTATATCTATGGATTCGGGTCATACAAGCCATATGTAGAAGGTTGATAACTATAATCCCTAGTTCACCTGGGAGCTCCAATATTCACAGGCATTTTACCTGTGCCTTTCTTTCTACCCCTAGCCTTGTTCTAATATTTAGTGACTAACTTGGCGAATGGTCGGCCAACAATCACCCGGCAACACGGTACATCTGCGGCGCCGATATTTGGTGGCAACTTGATGTCCGAGCTGTTTGGTGGCAACTTGATGTCAATGGTGTGATAAGCTCAAGTTTGGGTGAGTCTTATCCGCGGCCGAAGTTAAACTGATAGCGCAAAAACTCTCGCTATTACCTCTTTTCAACGTTACTAATCCCTCACTTTTCCTTCCTGATGTTTTGCAGTTGATGTGAAGTTATGCACCAGCCAGTTAAAGCTCGTTATAAAGCAAAAGTGATGTGAGCTATGTTAACTACCCGCTCCTGAACCAACATTCTATTTAATTGCAACGGGCCAATGATTGAAGTCCTAAATACATCTTGTTCCGTTTTGACTGCACAGGCGTTGTAACAGTAAGTAGTGACACTCTCATGATCTTGTCCCATTTTGTACAAGGAAAAAGTAAAGTACTATCTCTACTACACATGTAAAATTAAGTTTTTTAAGCGGGCCAGCAATACCGGACTTCAATTTGAAACTTCTGATATGATA